CAGGAAGTCCGCGTCCCCTCCTCCCGCCCCCCCCCTCTCCCTCTCTCTCCCTCCGATCTCACTCCCATCCATCATTCCATCCTGGGTCACCACCAGGAGGGGACACCAATGACCAGCCACCGCAACCACCTCTCCCCCCACCCCACTCTCCACACCCCTCAACCCCTCAACCCTTCCCATACTCCGCAACACCGCCCACACATCCTCATCCACTCACCCTATCCACCATGGTACGCCCGTCCCTCTTCCTCCCCCTTCCCCCCCCCCTCGCCCTTCCCCCCCCTCCCCCTCCCCTTAGGCCATACTCACCCCCTTTCCGCAGAAGGTGAAGATGATCTCGCGGGACGAGGTGGCGATGACACGGGAGCGCTCGACAGATCTCAACAAGGTCCATCGCAACACGGCTCTGCGTGGCTTTGAGCGACAGACCGAGGTGAAGCGGGCGGTGAACGCAGCCAAGCTCAACCGAGTCTTTGCCAAGCCGTTTGTGGGCCAGCTCAGTGGTCACATGGATACAGTGACGTCGATGATGGCGTCGCCGCGGTCGCTAGATACCTTCTTGACAGGATCAGGCGATGGCGAAGTCCGCGTGTGGTCGCTCTCGCGCAAGGCCACCCTGTGGTCCATTCCCATGGCCCACACTTCGTTTGTCACCGGGCTGGTGGTCTCGCCCAACGGTGAGACGTTCTTCACGGCGTCGGATGATCGGTCGATCAAGCAGTGGCGGCTGGACATGGGCAACATGTGGGCCGAGGATGTGGACACGCCGATCGAGTCGTGGGCATCCGAGTACGCCCTCGAGTCGCTCTCCATGCACGCGTCACGCTACGTGCTCGCCACTGGCTCGCGGCAGGTCGACGTGTGGGACGTGGCGAGGGCTACGCCTGTCCACACCATGGCCTTTTCAGACGACACCATCTCGTCTGTTGCCTTCAACCAGGTCGAGACCGAGATCATTGCGGCGGCATCGTCGGACCGCTCGCTCTCGTTCTACGATATTCGCACCGAGTCTGCTCTCCGCAAGGTCGAGCTCGGCAACCTCATCAACGACGTGGCCTGGAACCCGCGCGAGGCGTTCAACATCACCATTGCGTCGGACGACCATAACCTCTACACCTTTGACATGCGGAAGCTCGATCGGGCACTCAGCGTTCACAAGGACCATGTCTCGGCCGTCATGTCGGTCGCCTACTCGCCCACCGGCCGCTCGTTTGTCTCGGGCTCGTATGACCGCTCCATCCGCCTCTGGAACATCTCCAAGGGCCACTCGCACGAGTGCTACCACACCGAGCGCATGCAGCGCGTACTCAAGGTCGCCTACTCCTCCGACGCTCGCTACGTCCTCTCGGGTTCGGACGACACCGGCGTCCGCATCTGGAAGTCGGACGCGTCGGCGACAACAGGCATCCAGCACCCGCGCGCCAAGGCCCGCGCTCGCTACGAGGCTGCCCTCCTCAAGCGCTACGAGCACGTTCCGGCCGTGGCCAAGATCCACAAGCAGCGCTTCCAGCCGCGCTCCATCTTCAAGGCCCGCAAGCTCCGCCACGTCATGCGCCTCGCCGAGATCCGCCGCGATGGCCGCCGTCGTGCTCACACCCGAAACCCTGCACCTAAGATCGACTCCCGGACTGCCGCCGTCCGCCGTCTCCACGATTGAACGTCCTCGTCCGCACCCCCCTTTTTCTCTGCCGAACACCGAACGCAGCCACTCGACGCCACCCTTCCCTACTTCCACCCCTGCACCTCCTCTCATGGACGAGGCCCACGGCCACGCTCGTCGAGCAGAACGGCTAGCCCAACTCGGGGCGTATGACGATGCCGCCGAGGTCCATACTGCTGCGGCTGAAGCGTATGCGGCCTGCGCGTCTGCGGCCGCCGGCCATGGCCCCACCGCTGCTGCCTGCGCCGCCCTTGCTGACCACCACACTGCGGCTGCTGCTGACGCCATCACCCGTGCTACGACTTCCCGCGCCCGCGCTGCTGCCCGCGCAGAGGCTGCGGCTGCGGCTGCGGCTGCGGCTGCTCGAGCTCCGTCGTCACACGAGCTCCCGGCGGGAGACGGCGGCCGCGATCACGACTCGCCGGCACCGTCACCCTCGGGTGGCGGCGCTCCTCGTGACGATTGGGAGACGTCGTCGTCGGACGAAGATGACGCGGTTGTTGCCCAACGGCGGATCGCCGAGGCGCTGGCTCGTGGAGAGTCCGGCCCGGCGGTCGAGGCCGCCATCAACAGCTTCTGGGGCGCCATGGAGGCCATGGTCGAGAACCTGAGCCTGCCGTCGTTTCTGGGCGGTGGCGGCAGCGGGCTGGGCCCGGCAACGAGCTCGCCGGCCGAGGGCGACGACCTTATGGGCACCTCGTTCTTTATGGTTCCCGACCCGTCCGAGGCCCGGTCCAAGGACGACGAGATCCGGCGCCTCCGCCGCGAGATGCGGGCCATCATCGACGAAGGCCGTAGCTTCCAGCTCAAGTCGCGGCAGCTTGCCGACGAGAACGCGCGGCTCAAAGCTGCCATTGCCACCTTCCAGTCGGACCTGCGCCGCAAGGCCCGCGTCCTCCGCCAGGACTTGGCGGCCTCGGTCTCGTCGCTCGTCGAGCTCCACTCGTCGCAGCTTGCCGAAGACATGATGAGCCAGTCAGCAGTTCTGCGCCACTCGGTCGCGCCACCACCGCGGCCGCGCTCTGGCTCTGGCTCACCGGACGGCGCGGCTTCTGACGAGGCTGCTGCCGCGGCTGCCGAGACTGAGAAGCTCAAGGCTGCACTGTTGCGCCAGAGCCTTGTCATCGCCGGCCTCCGCGACAAGGTCGCCAAGTACGACGCCAGGTGGGCCAAGCTCAAGGCCGAGGCTAAGAAGCGCCGGCGGAGCAAAGACTCTGCCGCGTCCTGACGCTCAACACTGTTTACTTGAGTGGGTGATGGCGCTTGGTGGCACCTGCGCCTACCTTCATCGCCTCCTCCTCGCGCGCAACGCTCTCACTTGCGCCCGCCTCCTCTCCGCCAGTGCTAGCACTTGCCCGCAGCCGCTTGTTGCCGCGCTTGGGTGAGGTGCCCGGCGGCGGCTCATCGGGTGGCTCGGACCGGATGCCCTGGACGGTGACGGCAAACCGCGCCGAGCCCTGCGAGTGCGATGGCGACTTGAAGAGCAACGCCAGACGCGCGCCGTTGTCCCAAAACAGGTTGACACGGACGGTGGCGGCATGACCCCACGACTCGCCGAGCGCTGGCGCTAGGTACGCATGGCCCTGGGAGATGCCGCGGGTCGTCACCTGGTTCATCAGTACCACCGCGAGTCCGGCTTTCTCCGCCAGCAGTGTCAGCGACTGCGCCATCCCGTTGAGCACCCGTGTTCGCACACCCATGTTGGCAAAGTCGTGCCGAAAGTGAAAAGCAACCGAGTCGATGACCACCAGCCGCACGTTGCCCAGCTCCTCCACAATGCCCGGCAGCAGGTTGATGAGAGCAATTTGCTCCACGTACGAGTGAACCCGATAGTAGGCGATAGAGCTGAGGACAGACTCAAGACTGAGCCCGTGGGCCACCCCATCGGCCGCCGCCTGCGCGTCGAGATGGCTCACCACCGCAGACGCAATCTCCACCGCCCGCTCCACCACAAACGAACCCTCTGTGTCGATGTAGATCGCGCTCCCGCCGGCGCCGCCAAAGGCCTCGGGAATCTGCACATCCACCGCGAGCTGCATCCCGAGCTGCGTCTTGCCGATGCCCGGCGCGCCCGTAAACTCGGTCACCTTGCCCAGCGGCACCCCGCCGCCGAGCATCTCATCCACCTCGGCGCAGAACGTGATGATCGGCACTTGCTGCCGCTCTTCTAGCAGCAACGCGTACGCCGACCGACCGACCTCTTCCGCCCCACTTTCCTGCGCCGTTCCGCCTCCTACCAGCGCCGCTAGCGACACCGCCGCGCTCCTGCCGCTGCCTGCTCCCTCGCCCTTGCCGCGCACCGCCCTCAGCACGTCCAGCGCCTGCCGCCGCGTGATCCCTGCAGCCTCAGAGAGCGCCACGGCACCCACTCCACCCACATCGTCGGTGGTGTGAAAGCCAGCCCTACTCAACGCGCCCTGCTCTCATTGCGTGAGTTGCACAAAAAGGTCGTAGTTTGGAAAAAGGTCGTAGTTTCCACGCCGTCGTTCCGTCCCCCCTACCACCACCGTCCCCCTCCCCTCCCCCCCTCCCCCCCCCCCCCCCACCCCTCACAGCTTCCATGGCCTTACCTGCACAGACGGCGGAATGGGAAGCGTCGACAGCGGACGCATGCTGCCTACCCGCGTCCTCGAGTCGAGTGCTGCTGTCGACCGCCGCTCGCCCGCCGCCGTCGTCGCCTGCCGCCCTCCCGCCGCCCATACCGTCACCAGCGTCACTATCCCCTTCCGCAGACGGCAGTGCAACAGTAAGCATGTGACTAATTCATTCCGTGGCCGAAAACTCGTTCTCATCAAGGGCAAAGTTGAGCTCATCAAGCTCGATTGAGGTGAGTGTCATCGGCCGCTGCCGCGTGCTCTGCCGCGCATCGGCTACCTCGCGCAGATGCACCGTGTCGTCGAGAACCGCAAGAAACTGACCAGTTGCTCGAAGAAGGTTGGCGTCGGCTTCAAAGTCATGCAACTCGGTCGTCATCATCGCCACGATCCGCGAGTGTCTGCTCTCGGTTGTTGCAAACTCGTTCGACCGCGACCGCCGGATGTGCCGCAGGTCGAGAACGATGGCACACAAGCTCACCATCACCAGCACCGCGAGAATGACACAGAGGATGACAAGCAAAACGGTCGAGTCGACTGCCACATCGCGGCGATCGAGATAAGCACCGCCGACCACAAGCACGCCCACCAGAACAACATGCAGCCAGAGGTCGATGTTGTTGTACAGCGGGTTGTAGTACGGCTGGATGCGCGCGAGAATCACCACGTTGCCCACGAGCACGCCCAGTAGCAGCCCAATCTGTGTCAGCTGGTACTCGGAGACAAAGAGGAGGACCAACACGAGGACAAGTCGCTTGATCAAGTTTGCCACCTCGCCCCAGTAGTACGCCTTGCGGTAGAGCCGGTAGAGCGATCCGAGTCGCGCCGTCGTCTCGGGCTCGAACAGAGTCGTCGACGACGCGTACATCATGCCGGCGAAATAGGCCGGCATGCCGATGACAAAGATAATGACCATGGCAGCGCCGAGCGGAAAGACACTCCACCACGAGCCGTTGAAGCATGCCGAGCCGGGGTCGGCATCGAGGACGTAGCTGCCGTTTGGCATCCGGGTGCAGTCAAAGATGATGAGCGCGAGCTTGGAGAGCGGAAGGTATGCCACCGGCCCGAGTGAGAACGTAAGCATGTCAAGCAAGACACGGATGGAGATGTTGCCGAGCGGTGCAAATCGCGTAAATGGCCTCATGCCCGACACGGCCCGCAGAGCGATAAGCAGAGCGCTGGTGAGCCCAAAGACCACAATCGGAACAACAATAGTCATGGCGTACTTGGCGTAGAACGAGCGAAGCACGCATTGCGAGCCGTACGCAATGTCCAGGTTCGCCACATCAAACGCACCTAGCACCTGTCGCGCCCGCTTGCTCCACCCAAACTTGGCGCTTCCAAGAGCACTCACCACCTGAAAGGCAAAGACAACCATCGAGAGCGATGCCGGCAAGACCACCGTTCTGAACTTGCGGACATGTGCCGCCAGCGTCTTTCCGCCGCCTTGCTCCTGGCCAGCTGCCCGCGAGACAAACCAGCCGACACCGAGCGCCAGCGCAATCGCCACAATCAATGCGCCGACAAGAAAGCTTGAAAACGTCACAACAGCAATGTCTGGGCACCTGCGACACGCACCATCGGCTGCAGAGTACCAACGGTCCTCGCACGTGTTGCACATGTACCCGCGATAGCCAGGCGCACACAGGGCAGCACCGCCGGCACACGCCGCGCGTCGATAGCACCGCAGAAACTGGCCAGGCTCACCGGGGTAGTAACCGGGCTGTGCCGTCGGCTGTTTCGTCCCGCCCGCGCACAACCCGCCGTTCGGGCATTCGGCGCACGCCACGCCGACTCGTGCCTCCACATCAAAGTAGCCGACAGCACACGTGCAGTTGCCCACCTCTACCGAGCCGATCGATGACCGTGTGTTGGCTGGACATGCCAGGCACTCGGAGACCGTCGCCGCGTACGTGTTGACGTCGCAGATGACGCATGGACCCAGCGGCGTCAGCTCCACAAAGCCCGGCGCGCACACCGCCAGCACATCGAGCGCCCACGGCGAGCCGGGAAGAGGCACCGCTCCAATGCTGACCGACAGCAGGTATGCCCCCCCGTCCGAAACTGTGTACGAGCACGCATACCTGCCGTTTTGGGTGTCAACGCAGTCGACCGCGGCCTCGGCATCAGCCGACGCCATCCGCGCCGAGAGCACGTCACCGCCGCTCAGCCGCGCGTTGCCGAACCGGTCGCGGGTCACAACCTCAAACGTGGCAAGCTCGCCAACAACCGCCACAACGAGTCCGGGACCGCCAGCGCTGCTTTGCACCGCGTCCGTTGGCCCGGGTTGCACTACAAGTGTGTACGGATTCGTCGCCAATGGCACCAGATTGACGCGCAGTGAGAGCGTGTACGTACCAGGTACTGTCGTCGTAAACGTCACATCGTGCACGCCAGCGCCTGCAAAGCTGGCGGCCGACACGGGTCCGGCCTCGAGGTTAAGGGCGACGTCATAGAGACCGACCACGTTGGCCGGGTTAGAGATGAGGATGCCGGCCTTGTTGCGGGTCGTCAACGAAAACGCCCACGTGTTGCCGGCAGGCATGACGTGGCCTTCAGTCGCCGTCGTTGTTGTAGTTCCTGGATCAACATCGGTTGCAATGACCAGCGCCGCCGCCGCTAGGCTTCCGCACCGCTCGGTCCCGACCCGCAGCACGATGGAGCACGATCCCGGCGAGGCGAGCTCGAGCCCTGTGATCGACTCGGTGAGAACCGAGCCCGAGCAGATGTCACCTGACAGCTCCCAAGAGTATCCGGCCTGGAACTCGGGATAGACTGTTGCCAGTGAGACGTTGAGCCGGGTGCCGACACCGGCAATCCGCACATCGCCCAGATCGGCGGCAATGCCTTGAGTCACAATCACGCGCGGAGGCGAGTCCTCAGCGACATGCACCACGTCACGGACAACCGCGGCAGCCGTCTGCACACTGTGGTGGCCGAGACTGGGAAATGCTGCCACAGCCCATTCCGGCGTGGACGCCAACACCACGACTCCGGACGACCACACCCACGGCGAATTGTCCGACTTGGTGATGTTGATTTCGGTGCCAGCGCAAAGCGGCGTGACTGGAAATGTCACGTCAAGCTCACTCGCAAAGTCATACTGGAGCACGCCCTGGACCTGTACAATGCCACCGTTGCGATCGGTGACGTCTTCGGCGAGGCCAACTGCCCCGACTCCACCCGGGCCACTGGTGCCGGACGCTCCTCCGTCACCACCTCGCCCACCGGGCCCGGCAAGGCCGTCAGGCACAAACCCACCCAATCCACCTAGACCGCCTGGCGCAGGCGGCGATCCCGGCCCACCAGGTCCACCCTGACCGGGAGACCCAGGCTCAGCATTGAGATCGGCGAGCACGCCGCCAGACCCAATTGCCACGTACACAGCCGATGAGCACCCTCCGCCGAGCCCACCTTTGCCGCCAAATCCGGCGCTACCCCCACCGCCCCCGCCGCCACCTCCGCCACCCGTGCCGTCTTGCACAGTGGGGTTGAGATCGTACGACTCGTAGCCTCCTCCGCCACCACCGCCGCCGCCACCACCACCACCACCAGCACGCTCGCCATCGCCACCCTGGAAAAGAAACCAGTAGCCGTTCGAGTGGCGGCCTTCCTGGCCAGGAAGGCCAGGACTACCGTCGACACCATCGGCGCCTTTGCTCCCCACATCGCCGACACTCCCCCAAACGCCACCGTCATAGTGCTTACCGCCGATTCCGCCACTGCCTCCTGCCGCGCTAGCCATCTCGTTGTGACTTCCGCCGGCCCCGCCAGTGCCACCCTTGGATGTCGACGTCGATCCCGAGCCTCCTCCACCACCGGATGCACCCGCCAGATCACTGGATGTGCTGCCCCTACCATCATAGCCAACTCGTCCATTCCGCTCCTTTCCAACCACAGCGGGGCGCCTTGTCCCACGGGGTACATCCCGCCTCCAGTACCGCCATCGGCACCGGCGCCAAAGCCCGAGTTCTCTGTCGCATGGCCCTGGGAACCCCGCAGGCCAGGTGAGCCAGGATTCCCAGCCGCGCCCTGCGCGCCAGGCCCTCCATCACTCGCATCGCCCGGCCGGATGTCACACCGCACAATCGCAAAGTTCGACGCGCCGTTGACGTGGACGCCGTACGTCGAGACGCCGTAGCTTGGACCAGGCGGCGCCGGCCCGCTGGTCACCACCAGATCTTGCAGCCGCCACCCGGAGACGCCAACGGCTTCCACAGCCACATACGCATACTGCTCACCAACCACTACCTCGTGCATGCTGGGCCCAGTCCGATGAAGGCGGGTGGTGAGCTGGGTAGACTTGCGCCAGCGCCCACTTCCGCTGCCCAGCTCCTCATATCCGCCGTCGAGAGCCGTGTGGCCCGGCAGCGCCAGCGGCACCATCAGCGTGTACGTCCCATGATGGATGCGGAGAGCGACAGGGTTATCTTCTTCTCCACACTCGCCAGCAATTGTCACACCCGTCGCAAGATCGACCGGGTTCCACCGGCTCTCGTTCTTCACGCTCGCATCGGTCGAGCCGCCCAGTCGAACGTAAACGGCGCCACCAGCTGCTTGAAGGTCCTCACATGGGCTCCCGCCCACCTCTGTCTGCACCATTATTCCAACGGTCACTACCACCACCACAGCTCCAATACGCCAGCTCAAGACGTCTAGTATGGGCCACATGTTGAGTGTGGTGGCTCGGCTGTCATGGCTGTCAGCCCTGCTGCCGCTCGCTCCAGGCTCCCCCCCCACGTGCTAACACGCACGGAACAACGAAAAAAAAATGGAATGGTATGCGCTGAAAAAATGACTGGTTCCACAACAGCACATGCCTAGAGTCACCTAGACCCAGGACAGTGCGACGGAATGACGCACTTCTCCTCTCTACCACGTACACCTTGAACTGTGTACTGTGCGTAGTCATGGGGAGTTTTGTCTGGGGTGCTGCTCTCGTACTCGCCCTGGTGGCGCTTGGAGTGGTGCAGTCTGCGGCCGGCGCCAACACCTGCGACGACTTGCATCTACTTGCCGGCTCGACGGTCTTTGTCCTCGCCTCGGGCGGCTCGACGAGTGCCTCCAAGGATGCGACTCGGACCGAGCCAGTGGATCTAGTGACGGCAATGGCAATCGCTGTCGACTGTGCAACCGCGTCGCAGCCACTGACGCTGGCTTTGCATGTCGGCACGTACTCGCTGTCAAGCGCACTCGTTCTCGCCTCGCACACTACTCTTGATGGTGGGTACACGTACGCTGGGGCCGGAATGTGGAGCAAGAGCAACAGTGCTGCCACAGTGCTGCATCGAACAGGAGCGAGCTACACAATCAACGCGCCTGACCAGGGCGCTTACATTGCGGTCGAAGCGGTGTCCAAGACCGACTGGCGACTGCAGGATCTGACTGTGGTGACCGACGACGCGCCGGCGACGTCCGGCTTCCGCGGCGTCTCGTCCTACGGCTTGTACATCCGCAACTCGATAGATTATCAGATTGTGCGGTGCTCGATTGTGCCTGGCGCGGCATCTAGCGGCAAAGCCGGCGACGCTGGACTGGTCGGCGAGTTGGGCGAGTTGGGCGAGCCAGGCACAGATGGCAGCGACGACAATGGCTGCTTTTCCGGATACGGCGGCAATGGCGGCCAAGGAGGCGAAGGTGGCGGGGGCGGAGGTCTAGGCGCATCTCGATCAGGATCCTGCGATTCGACTGGCTTTTCTGGCTGGGATGGGCGGGATGCACCTGCGGCCACGCCGTGGAGCGGCGGCGGCGGCGGCGGCGGCGGCGGTGGTGGCCAAAAAGATCGCCAGGGCGGTGCCGGCGCAGCTGGTGGCACATCGCCAGGCTCATTCAGCTCGGGAACAACACCGATTGTCACGGATAGTCATGGAAGGCATGGGAACCATGGATGGCCAGGGAACGTCGGGTCTACCGGATCGCCTGGCGGCGCGGCAAGCCACAATCTAGACTACTGGCAGCCGGGCGGAGACGGCGAGAGCGGAGGCCGCGGTTTTGGCGGAAGCGGTGGAAGCGGCGGATCCGGAGGCTTTGGCGAGGATTGTTTTGCGTGCTCGCTTGGTGGTGGTGGTGGCGGCGGCGGTGGTGGTGGCGGCGGATCGGGCGGCTATGGCGGCGGTGGCGGCTGGGGGGGGCGGATGCTCTTCGGCGATCTACGCGGCGTCGGGAGCAGGCGGTCAGGTGCTGGATTGTTTTGCGCAGGCTGGATCTCCTGGCGCCGGCGGGCTTGGCGGACCCGGCGGGCCTGGTGGGAAGGGCGGCGACGGTGGAGCCCGAGGCATCGGGCTGCTTGGCGAGACCAAGAATGGCGGTAAGGGCGGGCGCGGCGGCGATGGTGGAAGGGGTGGCAATGGTGGAGCAGGCGAGCCAGGCGAAGCGATTGATGTTTACGATGCTCTCGGCGCGGTGACCATCAACAACGACAAGTACCCTCTGTCGTCCGAGCCTAGCGTCTCAGTTGGCCCGTTCTCACTCTGTCTTGATGCCGAGGTCAATGTGAGCAAGTCGGACACCGAGCCGTGGTTATGGATGGCTGGAGCGACGGTGGTTGACGAGACGCCGAGAATGGCTCGAGTGGCGTTTGGCAGCGCTGGCCGGCATACTGTAGGCTCGGCTGCCAATCCCGCCCGCGAGTTTGTGCATGTGGGCATCCCACCGCCGCCGCACGAAGTTTTGACGGTCGGGGCGAGCGGAAGCGGATCTGAGCCGCGAGTGGCTGGTGTCGGCTCGGTGGTCAACATCTCTGTGGCTATCCACGCCGATGCCACCGGGTTCTACGAGTGGCGCTTTCTCGGTCCGCTCTGCTCCGGGACGGCCTCTGGGCGTAGCGCCGGCTCGATCGCTCTCCCAGCAGTCGGCTCATGCTCCATCCTGCTCCGTGTGGGGAGCAGCTCGTGCGGAGTGCTTGCTACAACTGCGACGGTGGTGGCGACCAACGTCGATGCCAGCGTGTCGACGACTGATGCGGCGGATCCGCAGATCTTGGCCGCCGGGCAGGAATGGGTGGTCCATGTGATAACGAAAGAGTCGAGCGGCATTGTGGTCGATTCGGCGACGGACGTGGTGGGTCTCTACGACACTGCGTTTCCGCTCGCTGCCGGGCCTGTGTCCAGCCAGGTGTGGCTCGGCTCGGGGCAGCACTCGGCAACGTTTGTGTCGACAACACCCGGCGTGTATCAGCTTGATCTACGAGTCAACCTGGTGGCGATGACGCACAACCCGTACACGGTGACTGTGGTGCCTGCAGCGACGCACGGGCCTAGTTGTGTCACCAACGGCGGTGGGCTGACCAATGCTACAGTCGGCTCGCTCTCCACGTTTGTGATCGAGGCCTTTGACGAGTACGGCAATGCGCGGGGCATGGGTGGTGATACGATTGTGGCAACAATGGTGGCCGATTCCGGGGCGGCATCGGTGGTGTGTGTCGATGGGCGCGATGGGCGGTACACGTGCACGTACACGCCAGCACAGGGCGGAGCTTACCTGCTCACGGTCAACATCGAGGGTCTGCCTCTACCTGGCTCGCCATGGCGGGTCGATGTGGTCGAGCACTGCGAGCTGGGGTTTATGACGGCCACGCTGGAAGGCCCGTGCACACTCTGTGCGCCTGGCACGTATTCCGACAGCATCTCTGCCCGCAGTTGCAAGGCTTGCCCGCTCCTGACGACCACCGACTCGGGCGCGTCGAGCATTGCAAACTGCACCTGCGTGCCGGGCTACTATGAGCCAGGCGGGCGCGCCGGCACTGTGTGCATCGCCTGTCCGCCGGGCGCGTCGTGTGCTGGTGGGCTGGCGACGCCTGCACCACGGGCGGGCTTTTTTGCTACAGGACCCGAGACGTTTGTGCGGTGCTTTCGGCCCAACGCTTGTGATGATGGCGGGTGCGCGGCCGGTTATCGCGGGTACCTGTGCAACACATGCGCGAGCGGATGGTACTCGACCGACGACGGCGCGTGCCGACAGTGCCCCAAGGTGGCGGCCGGCTCGTTCTCGGGCTTTGTGCTCGCCGCGGTGGTGGTGGCGGCGGGGCTTGCAGTAGGAATGGGCTTTTTCATCTCACGCGCGGCGTCGCCGGACAACGAAGCTTCGGCCAACCGAGGCGGTGACTCGCTTGCGATGCACATACGACGGTTCCGGACCGTGGTCATGCCTGCATCACTCTCGATGACGGTCTTTGCTTTTCAGGTGGTGGGCGCGCTTGGAAGCGCCAAGTACCAGTGGTCGGGCCGGGCGCGAACGATGCTCGGCGTGTTCAATCTTGCCAACATGGGCGTGAGCTTTGGCTCACAGTGTGTGCTCCGCTCGTTCTACGCCAAGTACGCTCTCTCGATCTTGCTCCCATCGCTGGTGTGCGTGGTCACCTGCGGGACCCTACTCGCGCTCCGGGCGCTCTCGGGCCGGGTCGGGCTCCTGGCGTTCTTTGCGCCGCTCCGCGACAAGTCGCCGCGGGCACTCATCGACACGCTTGCGTTTTCGCTCGGGCCGGTGGCGTACCTTCCGCTCTCCAAGCTCGCGCTCATCATCTTTGACTGCACCCGGATGCCAAACGGCAGCTACGTCCTCGATGCCGACCCCGGCTCGGCATGCTTCAACGGCTCGTGGTGGAGTGTCTTTCCGCTCGGCGCTGCCATGGTCATTATCTTTGTCATCGGCATGCCGGCCTATTTCGCCGGCATGATGTACGCGTCGTCGACGACTCTGTTCGAGCCCGAGACGACGGCGCGACTCGGATCGCTCTACCGGCTCTACCGCAAGGCGTACTACTGGGGCGAGGTGGCAAACTTGATCAAGCGACTTGTCCTCGTTTTGGTCCTCCTCTTTGTCTCCGAGTACCAGCTGACACAGATTGGGCTGCTACTGGGCGTGCTCGTGGGCAACGTGGTGATTCTCGCGCGCATCCAGCCGTACTACAACCCGCTGTACAACAACATCGACCTCTGGCTCCACGCTGGCATCATCGCGGTGCTGACGGTCGGCGGTGCGTCGTTCCTCCAGCGGAGTGAGGCCAGGCCGGCAAGCGGTGGCGGCGAGGTGCGCCTCTTTGTGGCGCTGTGCGTGGCGGTGACGGGCCTTGTGGCGGCCGCCATTGTCGGCATTTTCCGTGACTGGAAGCACATTGCGCGAGCGCGGACCGACGCGTTTGCCACGACCGAGGTCCGACACGCGCACATCATCGCAACGATGACGACCGAGCTCAAGGACTTTGAGACCGATCCGGAGCTGCTGCGTGCGGCAGGCGAGTTCCTCCTCGTCCTTGACTCAACGGTCAAGCTTAAGGACAAAGACGGCGAGAGCGAGTTGTAGCGCTACTCACCAGTCGTCGTCAAAGAGATTGTCGACACCGACTTCGCCCGGCTGTGCGGCTGCGGTGGGCGCCGAGCGAGGGAATACAAAGGTATTAAGGATAACAGCAACAGCGACAACGAGGCAGTAGTCGCCGGCGGCGAGCCAGAGCCAGGCGTAGGCAGCCTTGGCGATGGGGAAGAGGCCCATGACCAGACTTCGTCCGGTTAGGAAGGTTCGTGCCGAAAGCGCAAAGCAGAGCGCGTAGATGAGCCAGTACATGGCAAGCGGCGGGAGGAGGAACGGGAGCCGGAACGCATCGAGCGGTAAGGCGTAAGTCAGAAGCATGACCGCCATCAGGACCCGGACGAGCATGTCCGGCGGCGCGATGGCCGAACCGCCCGCAGCAGCGGGAGCCCCAGATACGGAAGGAGCACCACTTCCCCCCTGTCCACTAGCCATCCCAGCCAAGGCCTGCATCATAGCAGGAGCAGCACTTGCCACATCGCCATCACCGCCGCTCATCGCCGCCAGAGCCTGCATCATAGCCGGACCAGAGGCACTCGCCTCACCATCGCCGCCACCACCCATCCCGGCCAGGGCTTGCATCATGGCCTGAAGGGTAGGATCAACAGGCCCAGCCCCTGAAGCCGTTGCTGGCGGCATCATCTGCGAGAATGCCGGAGGTGTAGGGGCATGACTAGGGGCAGCAACAGGAGCAGCGATGGTGGAAGCGGTGGCAGTGGTGACCGGAGGAGGAGGAGGAGGAGTCGGGAGGTCGGCGCCTTCGGTCACCACCTTGAGCCGGGCTTCCTTCTGGGCGGCAAGTTTGGCCTTGCGCAGCCGCAGTTTTTCACGGCGGTCAACAGGCATGACGTGAGACGTTGCGTGTGTGTGTAGGGGAGGGGGGGGGGGGGGGGGAGAGGTGTGTGCTTGTGTGTGTAGGCCAACGGGAAGGAAAGTGGGTGACCTCGGTCGGGATCGGGATCGAGGTCGAGCAGGTCGAGCCGGCCGAGCGGGGTGCAGCATGCCCCACATCGATCGATGGTGTCGCAGGGTGACGTCGATGATGCGGCAGGTGGTTCAATGGGAGCCATGCCGGCTCGGGGAGTTATGGTCGACTACTTGCTCGCATCGCTCTCAGCCTCCAGTGCTGCGAGCTTGTCATCGAGGGCAGCAGCATCGAGTTCGGCAGAGAACTCGTCGAGCAGCTCGCCAGCCATCATGGCATCGATATCGTGCTTAGTGAGGCCGATGCGATGGTCGGTGACGCGTGACTGCGGAAAGTTGTAGGTCCGGATGCGCTCCGAGCGGGCGGCCGAGCCGATGAGGGCGTTGCGGAGCGTGGCCTGCTCGGCTTGGCGCTGCTCGATCTCGAGCTCGTACAGCCGTGCGCCGAGAATGCGTAGCGCCTTGCGCTTGTTCTTGTGCTGCGACCGTTCGTCCTGCATGGTGACGACGAGGCCGGTGGGGAGGTGGGTGATGCGGACGGCCGAGTCGGTGGTGTTGACGTGCTGCCCGCCGGCGCCCGAAGCGCGGTAGGTGTCGATGCGCAGATCAGACTCGGGAATGTCGGCGTTGGCCGAGCCGAGCGCCGAGTCGGGCAGCGGCATGACGGCGACCGAGACGGTCGAGGTATGGACCCGCCCAGTTGTTTCGGTCTCGGGAATCCGCTGGACCCGATGGACGCCCGACTCGTACTTGAGCGCAGCATACGCCCGCTTGGATGGCGCTTTGACTTCGGCCACCACCTTCTGGCTCCCGCCGACGGCCGAGACCGACTCGGCGAGCAGATCGACCCGCCAGCCGCGTCGGGCAGCGTACTTGGAGTACATGGCAAACATCTCGGCAGCAAAGAGCGAGGCCTCACCACCACCGGCGCCCGCACGGATCTCCAGCACGACATCAGCGTCGTCCTCGGGATCGCGCGGAACGAGCGCAGCACGAAGCGCACGCTCGGCCGTCGCCAGGCCATCAGCGAGCTCAGCAAACTCGGCTGCGGCCTCGTCATCCTCGCCGGCGGCCTCGTCCTCGGCCATCAGCTCGTTGAGCGCTTCGATGTCAGCAGTAAGGCTGGCGACCTCTTGGCTTAGCGCCACCACATGAGCTAGCTCGGCCGCACGGCGTCCGGCCGCAGCATCGGGCGCTTCACCGCGGGCGGCGGCCTCGGCGCCTGCCGCCGCCAGCGCCTCGGCCTCGCCAGCCAGAGCCTCGGCGCGGGTGCGGAGACCCGGCGTGAGGACCGAGGCATACTCAAAGGCCGCAGCAGCCAAAGGCTGTGTCTGCAGCAGGCGCAGGCCCGTCCTGGCTTCTCTCCACAAACAGATGCTGCGGAGCATGACGGAGAGGTGGCGTGGCTTGAGGCTGGTGGGGGGATGAATGAAGTGCGACGACGGTTCGACCGCTGGCTTTCTGCGGGCAGCGACAAGAGCCGAGGCACATCACGCTCCGATGAACAGCCGGGGGGGTGGTGGGGGGTGGTGGTAGGGATGCTTGCTCCCCTCGCGTCTCGCCCCTACCCCCACCCCGCTGACACCGCGATCAGAGGGAGACGTCCGATCAGCGTGCATCATGACCCTCACAGCAACGATCCACATCACCATACCCTTCGTAGCTGTACCTAACATCGATACCGATACCGATCGGTGACTGATGCGCCGCTGACGGAATGGGGGCTTTCGGTGTACAGTTGAGTTCATTCCGAGAAGCCCCCCTCCCAGCACCGATCG